TGTTGAAATCATCAATTAAAATAGGAAAAGAAACTGTGATGACAGAACTTTAACATAATCGAGAAGAAGGGGTCGAGCAATTGGAGAATTCCATTGATGAAAGGAAAACTTCACAGCACTAAGTGTAATACAATTGATTATTTATAGACAATTGAGCTAACCTACTAATTGCCTAACAACCTGAGGCTAACAGAATTATCTATCCAACTAATTAACAACATCAACTGAAGTAGTTTTGCCTGAGTTGCTCGTCTCTGGTTTGTTGCTGTTTTTCTCCGGTTTGCTAGCTGGATTGTGGTGAATCTCAGTGTCGTAACACTGGCTCTTCAAGGCCACGTCTAATGATAGCCATCTTTGCACAAGCTCATACTTTCTACGTTGCTCCTTTGCATCTAAGGTATTTTTAAGAATCAAACCAGCTAGTTTACGACTTTCAGCTGGCTTCTCTTCACTGGAAAGTTCTCCCGAAAGAGATAGCAGGAAATTAGGAAGATTTTGCTCCTGAATCTGTTTCAAAGTTTCCTCAGCATGATTCCGCACGGTTGAATCAACTGATTGTGCACTTAGGAGAACCTGGGTTACTTCCATGGCCATATTTGTCTTGCTACTGTCACCTGTATGGCTGAAATTAGCATAAGAAAGAGGCATCACAAGCAAAAATCAGGGAAGGATTGAGATTGACATATCCCCCAACATACCCACCCCTTCTGTACACTACAGCCTCTGTAAAAAACAAGACAAAGCATAAAACTTAATTCTGCCTACCAAGGAATAGCCAAGAAAAGAGTAAACTTCAACCCGCATTGAGAAGGATGAAAATGCACACGGCCGAATTCATTCCCCTCATCAGAAGACAAACTTGGAAAATTCAATTCCCAATGACCATTGACTGACCCGATTAAAATTACATTGACTTTCGACTTGGAATCGTCAAAATCAAAGATGAATCGAAAAAGATCTGAAGGTCAGTCATCAAAATGTGAAGTCAATTTACTAATCTTACAGACCACGCTAAACATCTAACTGTTGATTGCAATATTAATCAAATGTGAGACCAATAAATCATTAAAAGTGACTTTTACTCAGAACAACATGCATAAAATCAGTCAACAGATGTGAGTCATTCTCGCTCCACTAGAAACGATATTTCGTGCCTGTTTTTCTGCCATTATTGTGATGAAAATGGTGTAATGAATAGTATTTTTTTGAGAATGTGTGGTTAAAATTGAAAGAAACTTTATCGGTTTATATGTAGAATATTTTATTATNGGTTTATGTGTAGAATATTTTATTATTTGAATGTGTGTTGAAGATTGATTACTGTAGAAAATAATGTTTTGAAAAATGATAGACAAACAGAGGTTTCATATGCTAGACAGTTCGAGTTTTCAAATAACTTCACAAAGTTATCCGATACAACAATTAATTAAATAATTATTAATTTCTGTTCTTAATTTCACATTAAAAATCCAGCCCAGATAACATTGATAATTATCTAATCAAATACTTCCAGTTTAAATGACTTACATAGCAATCAATCAGTTAAACACACAGATCGACAGAAAAGTCCAGTTCCGATTAAAAATAAAACAATCTTTAATTAATTAAAAATAGGAGAAAATAATTTACACCCAACCTGAGAACAAAGCCGATGACGAGCGGCGCCTCTGATAACCCAATAGAGAGTTTGAGAGAGAGAGAGAGAGTGCATGTGTCAAGCTGAATTATTGCGTGCGGGACGTGCTATTCGTACCGGGGGGGTTGTACACCCCCTCGGTACAAGGAGTATATTCCATTGCGTGCTGTACTTGGGGGTTGGAATGGTCGAGTCGGGTCGGATCGGATCGGATCGATTTTTGCCCCAACCAAAAATCAATTCAACATGATCAATTTGATCAAAATTTAACCCAACACAACCCGTTTAAATATTGAAATCCAACCCAACACGGCCCAATCAAGTATCTGTCGAGTTGGGTTGGTCGGTTTGAGTCAAATTGTCAACAAAAATTAAAATCATCCAATGGTCTATTATACTAAATTCGAATAGACAAGATTAATAAATAAATAAATAAATAAAATTATCTATTATCTTATTCAATTCTTATTAGTCGAGTCTACAAAGAAAAAGTGCAATTAACATATTATGAAAAAGTTATACTACATTTCTTGTGGGAAGGGGAGTATACTCATCCTCTAAAATGCACCAAACTAATTAGAGTTACACTATCTACTCATACTTTTTAGGTTCCTTTTACTAGGCATTTTATTTCTTTTTTTTTTTAAGTAGGTGGGTTAAACTGGACGGGTCTATTCGATTTTCATAAGTTAACTCATAATCTGACCCAACCTAACCCAACCCGCCTACACAGCCAACCCACCTAACCCGTGTAAAAAAAAAATAATCCAAACAGGTCGGGTTTGGCGGTTTTGGCGAATTCGGTCGGGTTTTGCCCACCCATAGTTGTACTGAGAGTGGAAATGGTAGCTGATGATCAAATTTAAATAAAAATAGAAAAATAAAAAATTTAAAGAAATGACAATACCCATTTTAACTCAATTTTGAAGTTGATAATTTGAAAACATTACCATTTCTTATTGTTCAATGTTTATTCATCATTTCCATCTCCAACACCATTCTTCAAAGTTTTTTCATCCATCTCCATCTCCATCTCCATCTCCATATCCATATTTAAGATTTCTTTATATTATTTGGTTAAATTCGAATTTTTTTTGCTTATAATATTGATCAATAATGTGTTTTTAGCTTTAATATTTGAAGATTTAAACAAACATTTCTTTTACTACGGTGAAAAAATCCAAATTTGTGAAGAAGTCTCAGCAGATTTGTTATTTGTTTGGGATGCAGGTGGTCCGAAGTTCGGGGATTCAAGGTTCGTGTGGTCGGGTGGCTCGGGGGGTTCGGGTCCGGCTGGTTCGAGGTCCGAAGTGTCCAAGTCAGTGGCCCGAAGGGAGAAATCCCGCTTTTTAATTTTGAAATGAAATGTATGTTTTTCTTTTAATGTTAAAAATGTCATTGTGGTGAATAATTAGCAAGTTAGGCCTATGTGTTGAATATGGTGTTTGAGTGGCCATTTCAAAAACACAGTCATTGTATTGATCAGATAGTTCCATTATCCGATGTGGGCCGTGTGACGGGTGCAATTTGATTGGTGGGCCAACTCAAAACTACCAATTTTCCTCATTTTCTTTTTGACTCACTTTCTCCGTCCCATTCATATAAGTTGACTTTCCTTATTTTGTTATTCCAATTATATAGTCATGTTTCTTTATTGAAAATGTTTTATTCTATTCGTTTACTAATATACCCTTATTTAATTTGTCTAGTTATAACCAATTTTTTTCACTTAATCTTGAAATTGTACAAATATAAATATACCTACTTTTTGAAATCATCCAAATAATTTATGAATACGAGAATTAAAAATTAGATTATTCAACTTATTTACTACTTCCAATTATAATTTGCCACTAGTTGTTGATAATTAAATAAGGGTAAATTAGGAAAGTTTTTGGCAAAAGTTATTTTTCGATAACATTAAATAGGATTTCGTAATCCTTGTTAAAAAAAAATCAACATATATAAATAGGATGGAGGGAGTTATTTTTTCTAACAAGCATGTTTAACACTAATTTAGGTAGTAGTACTAGTGATATTAAATTACAGATTTAATTAAATACAAAAAAATTATGACAAATTTAGGTAGTAGCACTAGTAATATTAAATTACAGATTTAATGTTTAGCAACGCTAGTGCAGTATAACATTATTTATTTTTAAAATATATAGGGAAAAGTGGATAAAAATATATGTGATCAATGGAATATAAAAAATATTTACTATATATAATTTAATGAAAGGCGTTCCAAATGGTATGCGAAAAATCTACTTTGCCCTTATGCAAAAATATTAATATTATTAGGTGGCACATATATCATCTAGGAGGGAGGTATGACAATATCGTGTGGCCAAGATTCCAGGTACTACATTGGCAGGTGCACATAGTTCAAGGCCCCGTACGTAACTGAGCGTTTACGAGAAGTTGTTAGTACACTTCAAAAACTTTAATTTGCAAATCGCAAAGAGTGTAATAACTATATTTTATACACTTATTCGGACATAAAAATATAGATATTTAATAGTTCTTTTGATTAATAATAGCGTAATTTATTGTTTATTTCGTTTATTAAGTGAAACTTGATAACTAAACATGGAATTGGAAGAAATAAGAGAAAAATAGGCAAAAAGACGAAAATATGTGAAATTCAAAGTTCGGGGACCTAATTATAACTTTTCAATAGTTGATTCTACCACAAAATGAAGATTGAAGACATTTCGAGTTCAATGGATGCGACTAGAAGTTAAATTACAAGAGAAAATGACTTAAAACAATGAAGAATCGAATTTGGGGACCAAATTACACATCTGCAAAACTTCCGACAAGTGCCTCCACAGCGCCTAGGCGCTAGATTGCTAAAAATGAAACAAAAAATGGGCATCTAGGCGCCATATCCAAGCACCAAGCGCCACAAGAACTTGTTTTTGATTTTGGACTAATTTTCGACTCTTATAAATATCAAATAACTTCATTCATAAAAAAAAAGAACCTCTCATATTACAAAATTCATCAATTAACATCATCAAAGAGATACCAACTCATCATACTTTTGGGAAATCAAGAAGCAAGTGCAAGAATTCAATCATTTGGAGTTTCCATTTTTGGGGAACAACAAGAAGAATTGGAGATTTAATCAAGATACAATTGAAAAAATTCAAGAGATTATAATTCATCTTCTTCCTTCCCTTCAACAATTTATAATCCGGGTTTTATATCTCCAATTAAATATGATTTTTTGTGATTTTCTAATGCTAAGCTAGGGTTTCAATTACTAAGACATTGATGAACCTATTATGATGTTTTAATATAAACTCGATAATTTAACGTTTAATATGTATTTATTCTTGGGTGATTATTATAAGATTTAATGTCTCTTCAATTAGTTAATCACTAATTGGATTAATTGTGATTTTTAATAAATTATCGAGAAAAACAAGAGGATAGATATTACTTTATAACAATCATTGTAAAATTCGATAGAGAATATATATATATACCCCCTATGCTTTGCATGATAGATATTCTAGCGTTTTTAATACATACTTTTATGTTCGCATATTTCATAGAAATATAGGAATGTCACATGAGAACATCAAGACACTCTTTTAATTAACTTAGGAATATTGATCAATAAGATTGTGCACATATTGTCGTGTTATTAATTTTGTATTAAAATCGATTAATGACGGGAATTTAGGTTTTAGTAACCATTCAATCTAAATTTCTAAAAGCTAATAATTTGCTCATTAAAATTGTTAGTTTAATTAGTTAATTAGTTTAAACTCTTCAACTAAAATAGACTATTCGATTAGAGTTAGAATTAATTGATTCTAAATTGAATACATAGTCCTTATATGAATGATATTTTATTTATCACTTTATTACTTGTTTGCGATACCATACACTTGCGGGAAATCAAACGATCAAATTTTTGGCGACGTTGTCCAGATTATTGCATTTAATTAGTTTAAGTTATTTTTAACATTAATCTGATTTTTTTCTTAGTTTTAATTTCATATTAGAAAAATATTCCAGTACTTTATTTTCTTATTTTCAGGATCTTGCATGCAATGTTCGAGGCATGGTGATCTTGCTAAATTTGATCTGAATATCGAACGAACATTCAAGTTGAGAAAAACGAAGTAGATAGAAGTATAACAAAAAACAGCAAGCAAACAATACATCCAATTGTAGCTGCGGGTAATGAGAATGAGAGACTAATGGCGGAATATATGGCTCCACCAGTGATAGAAAGCAGATCCAATATAGCTTATTTAGTATTCGGTCAAGTAAAGTTTCACTTAAGGATGGATGTATAAACATGTTCCAAAACGAATTGCAGTTTTTGGGAGACCAGCTGATAATCCAAATGCTCACATCTCGAGATTTTTGGATACATGTGCAACAATTGAATATTCGGGGGTTTTAGTGATGCAATTCGGCTGAGATTCTTTCCTTACACTTTGAGAGATTCAGTTAGGGAATGATTGGACACATTTCAACCTTATAGCATCATGACTTGAGACAGTTTGAGCCAGAAGTTGTTGAATAAATATATTCCACCAAAAAGGATTGCCAGTTGAGAGATAAGCTCACTACATTCTCACAGCTTGATTCACAATACTATTATAAGGTACGTAAAAGATATAAAGGTTTGTTTCAACAATATCCATAACATGGTTGTAAAAGTGGCTACAGGTAGGGTACTTTCACATTGGGCTAAATTCGACTAGCAGGGCTAACGTTGACTATGTATGTTATGCGTCAATTACAAAAAGGACAATGGATTAGGTGTATCAAAACATGGATGATCTATCATTTAACAGTGCACTATGGCCAACAGAAAGATTAGGTGGAAAAAGAGCTGCATGGATGCACATAGTGGAAAAAGAAATTGGCTTGCCAACGTCGTTCTTGTTAAGAAAGCCAATGGGAAGTGGGGAGTATGCATCGACTTTACAGATCTAAACAAAGCATGCCCTAAGGACAGCTATCCCCTACCTCGGATCGATAATCAAGTGGACAGCACCTCAGGTCATAAATTATACAGTTTTTTGGATGCATTCTCTGGCTATCATCAAATTCTTATGGCAAAAAAGGATCAAGAGAAGACCTAATTTATGGCTGATTCAGCCATCTACTACTACAGAGTCATGCCAT